AAATCACAAACAGCCCCAAACAGACTTACACAGAACCACTCTTTATCAGGCTACAAAGAACCCAACTCTCTCTCAGTTCCCACAAAGCAGCTAGGAAGGCAAAGGGAGAAAGAAAAATCCCCTACCTTCTATCAGCAACTCTCCACTCCTTGCCTCAGCCCAACTGACTCAGCTCTGCCTCTGGCGAGGAGCAGCCTTTTGGAAGTAGGCCAGTGTCTGTTAACAGCTTCTCTTCTTGCTATGGGAGCAGCATCCTGGGCATTTCCTCACCTGCTCCTTCAACTGCTGCATTTTATTCTTTTCACGAATTCCCAGTTTCCAAATCTAATTTCTCTCCCTTCTCCCCAGATATCTCTTATGATGACGGGATGAGAACAATTACTGTTTCCAAAGACGAACTGGAGCGTAAGTTCAGTCACAGCTGTAACCCTTTGCTTCCTCTGCTCCGCCAGAGTCCCTTCATTTTATGTACAGGAGAATGCTTTTACATATGCCAAATGGAAATTCTAAATGGTGATTTCTACTTAAGAAAGGGTTGGATGAGTATTTATGGCTCTTGATTTCTCTGTACTGTATTGCTCTGCACTTAATGAATACCTCCTGCATATGTGAACCTCCTTCTTGGAACAACAGAGCTAGGACTATTGTATTTATATCACACCATTCCTGCAAGGAGCTCAGGGTATGGAAAAGACAGATTGTATTTTCCTCATTTTATCCTCCCAACAGCCTTTTGAAATAGGGCAGGCCGAGGGAAAGGGTGACTGGCCTGTGGTCGCCCACTAAGCTTCCATGGCAGAGTGAGGTTGTGTACCCAGGTCTCCCAGATCCTAGTCTGAAAAGTGAGCCGCTACACCCGAGTAGCTCTCAGTGTGATGGTTCATCACTGTGTACAAATCATCCCCTGATTACACAGTCAACCCCAGCAGAAAACATGCAGGTGTGGCCCAGCAGAATTCTCAAGGCTGTTTCTCCTACTGTATTTTGGATTAGTTTGTTATGGCAAAGGAAGACAAAAGGTCCAGTGGCTCCTTAAAGACTCACAACATTTATTTCAATGAGCACTTTTGTGAGTCATAAAAAGGTAAAGGTGAAGGTTCCCTTGCTCGAAAGCCAGTCAAATCCAACTCTAGGGTTGCGGTGCTCATCTCCGTTTCAAAGCCGAAGAGCCAGCGCTGTCCAAAGACGTTTCCGTGGTCATGTGGCCAGCATGACTGAACACCAAGGCACACGGAACGCTGTTACCTTCCCACCGAAGTGGTACCTATTTATCTACGTGCAATTTCTTGCTTTCGAACTGCTGGGTTGGCAGGAGCTGGAACTAGAGACGGGAGCTCACTCCGTCTTGCGGCACCCGGGTCTTGAACTGCTGAACTACTGACCTTCCACAGCCTGCAGTTCAGCGTCTTAACAACTTGAGCCACCGCAGCTCCTTTGTGAGTCATAGCTCGTATCATATCTGAAGAAATGAGCTGCTGACTCACAGAAGCTCCTATTGAAATAAATGCTGTGTGTCTTCAAGGCGTCACCGGACTTCTTGTTTTCTTTCGCTTCTCTCTCAGTTTTTCTAATCAATCCTTCTCAATTCCAGATTGGCGTCCCATTACTCATATGTTTTTTTTCCTACAGCTGAAGTCAAAATCCCTTTGCCACCCACCAATGTTCATGCCAGTGAGGTCAGGGAAGATTATGTCGTCCTCTTTTGGGATGAGCCAGATCCCAGAGGCAAGGAGCCCCTAAGTTACTATATAGAAAAGGTAAGAGAATGATTGCCTTGGCTGTGTAAATACAAAGAGAGTTTCTTCAAATGGCGGTACATCGGCTTTGAACCAATGAGCCCAATGAGTTCAGCTACGCTATGGGAAGATGAAGAAAGCACCTTATAAAGTACTGAGGCATAGCATAGTGATTTCAGCTCATACTTTACTTAGAAAACTAGAGATACAGTAGCCAGCCAGAGGCCCGCTTTAAATACAGTTACAAACCACACCACACCCCAACACACACACACACACACACACACGATTGGATTATTTACAGTGTTATTGCAACCATAGGTTCCCTTGAGGATCCGGACGAGCCGATAGGCTGGTTCTAGGATCCTCTCCTTCTATTGTCCAAGGATGTGAAGCTAGGTCAGTTCACCTGGCCACATGTAAGGGTGACCGCGTGCGTGGTCGCCATTAGAACACAACACCCCTCCCCCCATGGTTCAGACCTTCCCTAGCAAACATAGTCCTTGAGGTATGTGGGTTTCTGTCATTCCCGCATTGAGTGGCGTACTTTGAGGGCAGTGCTGCCCGGTGCCGCTCCTGTGTTTTCTGGAGAAGGCGCTAGAGGTTCTGCCAGGGCAGGTGTGCTGCCAGGGTCCAGGCCGCGGGCCGGCTCCAGATTGCTGCTGACGTCTCTCTCTGTCTGAGCACTGGACTGTAGCTGGGGTGGAGCGGATACATTCGGCTCCTCTAGGCTCCGATAGTCTTCCTCGCTCTCTTCGAGTACCTCCAAAATCGCTGGTAGGATGCGGCGGCACAGCTGATCTATATGTCATCGCAGCAGCTGGCCGTCATCTCTGGACACCTCGTACGAATGTGGCCCCATCCCCTGGACTACCTTGGCTGGAACCCAGGAGGGGCCTCGGGCATAATTAGGGGCATACACCGGGTCTCCTGGAAAGAACCCCCGGGAAGCTTCCTGCTCCTTTATGGCTGCGCTGTGCTCCAGGGCTCTATCAGGATGGAGGTGGTCTAGCCGGGAGGTAGGGTGCCGTCCCATGAGTAGCTCCGCTGGGCTATGTGGGAGACCCCTATAGTCACCCCAGTTAAGCCAAATGGGGATGTCCACATCTGTGCGGATTACAAGTGCACATTAAATAAAGCACTTCAAAATCATGCTTATCCAGTCCCAGTTGTTAGCCACGTGCTAGCCACCTTGGCGGGGGTGAAGATCTTTGGCAAACTTGACCTCGGCCAGGCTTACCAGCAACTCCCTGTGGACAAGGTGACCGCCACCGCGCAACCTATAGTGACTCATAGGGGGGGGGCGTTTAAAGTAAAGAGACTGCAATTTGGGGTAAGCATGGCCCCGGGGCTACTTCAACATTTAATGGACTAGGGTTGCCAAATGGGGCCGGGAGGTGGGGAATCCCCCGCTTTGGAGGCCCGATTTCCGATGCGACGGAATTGGGCCCCGGGGGGAACCCCGCCCCCCGAAGCTGCGTCACCGGAGGTGACGTACGACGTAGGGCATGTTAGGGGCGTGGCCCAGATCATCGGGGGGGAAACCATATGGTCCCCCCCCCGACGATCTTGACCACGCCTCCAACATGCTACGTTGTGCGTCACTTCCGGTGACGTTCCGGCGGCGCGCGCACGCACACACATTCCCAGCCAGCTCCCTGAGTGAGAAAACGCTCCCCCCGCCAGTGAGTAAATTAGATTTGGCAACCCTATAATGGACTCATTTCTGAAAGGGATCCCAGGCGTCACACCATTCTTCAATGATGTGCTGATCACTGCGGCTATGCCGGAAGAGTTCACCTCCAGACTGCCCACTGTTCCCCGCCACTGAAAGTGAAGCGGGAAAAATGCCTGCTGGGGGTTCCCTCCATGGATTTTCGGGGCTTCACCGCCAACGCGGATGGCCTCCATCCAGCCCGGGACAAAATAAAGGCCATCGTGGAGGTTCCCCCACCCAAATCCAAGGTGGAACTACAGGCGTTCCTGGGCCTTTTGAACCTTCCCCACAAGGCGGCGGTAGTTGAGCCCTTGCATCGCCTCCTGGATAAGCAAGCCCCCTAGACTTGGGGCCCCCACCAGGCTGCCACTTTCAAAGGGGTCAAAGTGCTGCTAATCTCTAATAAAGTCCTGGCACACTTCGATGAAACCTTGCCGGTGGTCCTGGCCTGCAATGCTTCCCCATTTGGCATTGGCTGTGTTGGCCCACCGGCTCCCAGACGGGCGGGAGGTGCCCATCGCGTACTACTCCCGGACACTGTTGGCAGCGGAGAGGAACTACGCCCAGATCAACCGGGAGGGTCTAGCTATAGTGGTGGGCGTTAAGAAGTTCCATGACTTCGTCTACGGCCGGCCCTTCACCATCGCAATGGATCTTCGCCCGCTTCTCGGCCTCTTCACTGTGGACCGTCAGACGCCACAGGTCCTCTCACCGCGGGCCCTCCGGTGGTCCATTTTTTTTTGTCCAGCTACAATTACACCCTCGAGCACTGCCCCGGGAAGGCCATGGGTCACGCCGACGCCCTTAGCCGCCTGCCCCTGCCATCCATCAAGGCCAACCCAGCTCCTGCGCACCACGTCCTGCAGGTTGAGGATCTCCCCAAGTCTCCCCTTCAGGCTGGGGACATTGCTCGCCACTCGGCCAGGGACCCCATCCGCTCCCGTGTCCTAGGCTGGGTGGTGAGGGGGATGGCCTGCGGCCGTAGCGGGGCCCGAGTTCATGGCCTTCACAATGCACCGAGATGAGCTGTCTGCCTACAAGGGATGCCTCATGTGGGGGGATAGGGTGGTAGTCCCCAGCACCCTGTGGAACCAAGTCCTAAAGGCCCTGCACAAAGCCCACCCCAGGATCGTCCACATGAAGGCCCTAGCCAGGAGTTACGTTTGGTGGCCAGTTCCAGGAGTTCCTCCACAGCAACCTGATCTGGCACATGAGGTCTGCACCATTCCACCCTGCCACCAAAGGGTAGGCGGAACGAATGGTGTGCACCACAAAAGAAGCCTTTAGCTGCCTAACGGAGGGGGACTGGGAGTTCTGCCTGGCCCGTTTCCTCTTGGCACAACGGACTACTCCCAACCCTGTCTCTGGCCGCTGCTCGGTGGAATTCCTGATGGGCCAGCGGCCCACGATTCTCTTGCACCGCCTACATCTAGATAGGGCCCCGGAGTTGTGCAGCCTGTCTGAACAGAGGGAAGCGCCCCGTGGGTTCTTCCTGGAAGACACAGTATGCGTCTGGAACTACAGCAAGGGCCCCCCATGGCTAGTGGGTCAAATAATCCGTCCTACAGATCCCGTGTCGTACGAGGTTTCTACGGAAGATGGCCAGGTCCTGCGGCAGCATGTTGATCAGCTGAGACGGCGCCTGCTCCCAGCTTCGGAGAATGCCCCTGCTCCAGGTAACTTTGACGCGGACCTGCCAAACAACCCCGATCTCGTACCCGCCGGCGGCAGTTCACAGGAGCAGGCTGCCGGGCTGAATGCCTCTGCACTGGCACCGGAAGAGGCTCCTCCACCTCTGCAGCCGAGCGCTCCAATACCTCTGCCCACCAGGACTTCCGATGCCCCAGTCCTGGCTCCTAGGCGTTCCATGCGGGAGCACCGGCCCCCGGACTATCTCAAGGACTATGTCACCTAGGGTGGGCTCAAACTATGGAGGGAGGGGTAAGCGCCCCGTGGGTTCTTCCTGGAAGACACAGTGTACATCCGGAACTACGGCAAGGGCTCCCCATGGCTAGTGGGTCAAATAATACGTCCTACAGGTCCCGTGTCGTACGAGGTTTCTACGAAAGATGGCCAGGTCCTGCAGCAGCATGTTGATCAGCTGAGACGGCACCTGCTCCCAGCTTCGGAGAACACCCCTGCTCCAGGTAACTTTGACGCAGACCTGCCAAACAGCCCTGATCTCGGATCCGCCGCCGGCTGTTCACAGGAGCAGGCTGCCGGGCTGAATGCCTCTGCACTGGCACCAGAAGAGGCTCCTCCACCTCAGCAGCTGAGCGCTCCGGTACCTCTGCCCACCCGGGCTTCCGACGCCCCAGTCCTGGTTCCTAGGCATTCCATGCGGGAGCACCGACCCCCAGACTATCTCAAGGACTATGTCACCTAGGGTGGGCTCAAACTATGGGGGGAGGGGTGTTATGTCCACTGACCACCACTAGGTGACAGCGGTCCGCCACCAGAGCTTGGCTCCTAGGAACAATAGGGACTAGGATCCTGAGCCTCCCAGTTAGCACCTATAGGAACTGTGGCGGGAAGTTCAAACCCTCCAATGGGACTTGTGGGTGTGTATCAGGGACTGTATATAGTTGGCCGTGCCGGCCGTTTGCAGTTGTTCTGTTGTGTACCCCTAAACCATGAGCTGATAATCATGCTGTGTCCAGTTTCTTCATGCGTTGAACCCACTACACAACAGGCGCACTGCTCGCTGCAGGGCAGGGGCATGCACCTTTAAAGAAATGCTAAAAACTGACTTAAAAATCTTTTGGGGCAGAAAGTCTTGTGGGGCTGTGCATTTAAGTAAGGGGGTTGAGCCCTGAATAGCCCCACTGTAGCTACGGGCCGGGCTCCCTTAACTATTTTTAAATTCTTCAAAAGAATGAATTCTTTAAAAGGCCTTGTGTCCTTCAGCACATGCGTGGCTCCCAATGGAGGCAAACAGCAGGTTTTTTTCCATTTGAGACTGCTGGACTGGCAATTTTAGGGCTCAAGTTCACTTTTGAGCGCACAGCTGTTCTTGAAAAAGAGCAGTTTCTGTCAAGAGCTCTCTCAGCCCCACCTACCTCACAGGGTGTCTGTTGTGGGGAGGGGGAGGGCAAGGAGTTTGTAAGCCGCTCTGAGACACCTTTGGGTAGTGAAGGGCGGGGTATAAATCCAATCTCTTCTTCTTCTTCTTCTTCTTCTTACTCTGGCGGTGTGGTTGGCACTGGCCTCATGCTTCTGACCATGAAGGCCCTGGTTGTAAAGGTGACAGCCATCATCTGTCAACAGACAGCCTTTTCTGTCCTCTCAGTCAATAGCAGGCACTGACAGCTGGCAGATGGCCAACTTGGACATCCCAGTGAATTCCACGACGTTTGCTCTCTTTGATCTCGACAAAGGGAAGACATACTGTTTCCGAGTGCGATCTGTGAACAAGTATGGTGTGAGTGAGCCTTCTGCGCCCAGCGACAACATCTCATTGGGGGAAAAAATAGGTAATTTGTTATCACTTTCTTTAATGGTGTTCAGAATTCAAGTGGGTTTATTTTGCCTTGCCAGGTGGGAAGCACGGGATCTTTGCTTGGATTTTACAAGGGTCTTTCTCCGTTCACACACAAATATTTAAGCTCGCTGCAGCTGACACAACCATTCTAAACCAAGTAAGAACTCTGGAATGACCTCCAACTAGAATGCAGTCTGATTACTACAATGCTCTCTACATGGGACTGCCCTTGGGGCAACTCCGGAAGCTGCAGCTAGTGCAAAATGGCGCGGCCAGGTTGTTGATGGGTCTCCCCATGAGGGAACACATCCAACCTGTGCTGAGGGCACTGCACTGGCTGCCAATAGCATTCCAGATACACTTCAAGGTGCTGGTTTTGACCTTTAAAGCCCTAAATGGTCTGGGGCCTGTCTACCTGAGGGACCGCCTTTCCTCGTATGTTCCCCCGAGGGCACTGAGATCCGAGTCGCAAAACCGCTTGGTCCCCGCAGGCCCTAGGGGCGCAAAGTTAACATCAACAAGAACGAGGGCGTTTTCCCTTGCTGCACCAGTATTATGGAATCAGCTCCCAAATGAAATTCGAGCTCTGCGGGATCTTCAACAATTCCGTAGAGCGGTAAAGACCGAGCTGTTCCGGCAAGCATTTTAATAGTCCGACTACACTGTCCTTACACATAATTACCAATACTTAATAACAGATGTCCGCCATGTCTTAATCTTAACTGTAATAGTTGTATTTTGAGATTTTACCGATTGTATTGTTTTGACTTGATATTTTATCAATTGTATATTGGTTTTTAACTATTGTAAGCCGCCCTGAGCCGCTTCGGCGGGAGGGCGGGATAAAAGTCTAACAAATAAAATAAATAATAATAAATAAAAGAGCCTCAGACTAATCAGGGGCTTTCTCACTTATTCATTTCCTGCTCCCCACCGTGCCCTGCCAGAGTGTTGCGTCTGAAGCAGAGCTTCAGTCTTTGGAATATACCAAATTCCCCCAAAGAAGATCTATTTCCTTGGCTGGGGTAACAAAACACCTGGAACTGGCCACCCTCCCCCTCTGCATTCCATTCTATGGCCTTCTACTAGCACATTTGGGTTCTTTTGCATATTTTTTTTAGTGGCCTAAGCTCATTGGTAGCCCTGACCTGCATGGTCCAGGCTAGCCAGACCTCATCAGATCTTGGAAGCTAAGTAGGGTCAGGCCTGGTTAGTCCTTGGATGGGAGACCACCAAGCAATTCCAGGGTTACCATGCAGAGGCAGGCCATGGCAAACCATCTTCCCTTGAAAAGCCTAAGGGGTCTCCATAAGTCAGCTGCAACTTGACGGCACTTTCCACCAGCATGCTTACTGGCAGGGCTATT